AAAGAAAACTGTTTCTTCACAGACAGAAGCTGAGCACTTGCAGCTGGGAGGAGAAGTTTTGGAAGAGTGTAGAAAGGAGCAGGCAGAACTGACGGAGCGTCAGCAAGCGCTCAAGTCCGCCAGACGGACAAGGGAATCCGTATATTAGACAGGTCTCAGCCATTGCGGAACGAAACAAACATTAATAAAGGGGCTATGGAAGCTGTTGCAAGCTAGAAGGTCCTTACGGTGCTGGATTCAGGGCCGGTCTGCCAGAAGCAATCTGCCTGCCAGCATGCGCTGAACAAGGGGAAATCTGTCTGCCAACCCTTTGTTTCTGTCCTGTCTCATTCTGAATTTTCTGTTTTAAAAACTGGTTCTTCTAGTGTACATTAAGTAAAACTAGCTGCAGTCAAAAAAAAAAAAAAAAAAAGTGAAGCAACCAACCCAGCGGTGCTTGGTATGCTTACTTAAAGGTGCTGGTGGACCACCTCAAACTCTAGCTGACTTGGGGTCCTGTCATAGCAGACTAAACTGGTGTGCCCAAAAAATGGCTTAGGGCAGTCCAGAAGCAAGCCCAGAACTACGCATGACACTAGATGAGGCACAATTTTGATAAGTCAACAACAATTTACAACTCTTCTGTGTTGATTCAATTACTGAAATGTTTTGATTCACTGGACCAGCTCAGAAGGTTGCCTGGAAAAACAGGCAGAAAGGCCTGTAACAGCTTCCTCTGATCAAAACCTTTAGGCATAACTACTAGGAGTTAAAATTTTGCCGACCTACAAGATTGCCTTTGACCAGGGACGGTTAAATGCAGCATCATGGAGAAAGAAAGGAAACATGGCAGGTTTTATAGAAAGGACTTGTTCTAAAGGAAATAGCTGCTGACAAGTAGAACAGAGTAAAATGTGGCACCTCAGTGAACGTATCTAAAGCAGGTCTATCTTTGCTGCCAATAAGGAGTAAAAAAACAATGGGAAAGACCAACTTATATGCAGATTTTTTTGTCTCTTTACATTTTTTTCTCTGTGAAATTAAATGGTACTTTAAGAAGGCAGCTGTCATAACCATGCATCACTGATCCTAGGTGCTGAAATAACTGTGGCTGAATGCAGTTGCACTGGGCAAGGGAGTCAGCAAAACTGCAAAAATTCACTTAGTAATAAGTAAAATCGTGCAGGCTGGCATCCTGGGGGCAGGGAGAGGCGCTCGTAGAACGATCACTGAGAATGCAAAGATACGTCTGACTCTGTAACCATCACACCGTTCACTAAGTAGCATTTGGAAACTGGTAACTGCTGTATGTCACTCTTCCTGAGCATAGGACTTTAAGATGCAGCTTCTAAAATACAGATTCAGATGACAGAGACTGCACATGACAAAGACTACCAGGCATTGCAGAGTTCCAGTTTGTGTACAGAACAGCTTCACCATCAGCCCACGTGAACACCCCTTGCTCTTTCATATCTGAGAGACCAATCCAAAAATATTTCTCAGGACTCAGACCAACAAGACTAGTCAGGTACGCTTGCTCATATCTGAAATGAAAAGGAGAGTCAGATGGAGATTAAGCCTAGTTTTTCCTTAGTTTGCCATTTCTCAGCATCCTAAGCTATACAAGCATAGCATGAATGGAGTCTCCTTTATGTTTCCTTTTACATGGAAACACCTCACTAAAATAGCTAATCAGATGGCCTAATTTCAATAGCAGTTGAAGTTCTGCTGTGCTGAAAAACAGCTTCTTATAGAATAGAGGCAGCTATGGCCTTTTCTTTTGGAGTAGAGTAGGGGAAAACAGGAAGATATAAGATACAGTGAGTTAGAAAAGACATACTATATTTTCTGAATGTTTTTTCCTGAAGAAAGACATTTCGTATTCCTGATTTAATACTATTTTCTAAAAAGTTCTCAACTGCTTTTTAAAATTCCAAGCATAGTCTATCAAAAGCTCTTTTACAGCTCTTCGTACCTGTCTCCTACGCTTGTTAAATAAGCATTGCTCCTTTCACAGGCTTTCTTTGCCTCCAGAAATGTTACAGAGGTATGCCCAACTAGATAGCAGTAAAAACCATGTCTTTCCCAGCCCTGTAAAGAAGAACATGTGGTGCACACTTGCATTTATAACAGCATGTGTTATAGTACTTGAATTTCAGTGTATACTTTTGAATCATCATATTGTTTATACAACATAATGCAGTAATGCATTAATTTGAAATCCAGTGGACCAGTGGTAATTGAGCTTAGTAAGCATCCAGAAAGAGAGAGATTTAATGCATATAAATCCATCTCTTTTGACAACTAACAACTGATAAGTTTTAACTGATTAAAAAATGTGAGGCACATAGAATGGAGAAACAAATAAATAAAATACTTCCTTGCTCAGAACTGACTAGAGTAGTCTGTGTTATAGTGAGATACTGACTCAAATTTCCTAATGTGACTGTTTACCATGCAAACTCTTGAAAAGCAACACCCTTAAAATTGCAATTGAATTCCAGGTCACTTTCCCCTTTTATACCAGCCTAAGATATGCTTGATGCACCCAGGAAAGGTAGAAAATCATCTATGTGGTTTGGTTCTGCCTTGTTCCAGCTAGGGCAATGTGCCTCTGCTCTGTTTCCTGTATACGGTCATGGGAAATGTTATTAAATATTGAACAACAGTAAATAGAAAAGTAAAAGGAGGGAAAAAAGGAAGCTAAAAAACAGTAGAAATACAAACCACTTGTTGTGAGAATAATTTCATTCATTAAAACAATTTGATTGATTTGGTTTTGGCTTCATTTTTATTACTGAGATTTGGCATCGTCTTGCATCATGTCACGTAGTCTAGAATCCAGCCCACTCTCTTCTGTATCTTAGATAATGATATAAGTAGTAGAACAATATAACAAGCAAAAAAACCTCACAAGGCTTCAGCCTCATCTGAAGACAGTTCTGAGAGATAATGGGGCTGACTCAACTAAAAAATTTTCAAAATACCTTTATTTTAAATGAGGAAACATAATGTATCTCCTGAAAATTATCAGCATGAATTTGATTTGCAATCACAGTTGTAAGGAAAAAGTAAAAGGACAGTTTCAATGTCAAGTGGAGATTGTGAGGACAATGCATTTTTGTTACCTAAATACTTAGTTACCCTTTATCCTTACCTTCTGGCAGGCAGGATCAGTCTTCACTGTCCCAGAAACTCCTTGCAGTGCCTGTCTTCTGCAGATGTAACCTAACTTTCTATCACAGGCACTGTCTGCCCAGTACCCATCCTAGATGCAGTTTGGGAAGAGGGGAAAAACAGTCAGATGCGATCTGTCTCATTTGCAAACATTATTGATTCCTTTTTTACAATAGTGCTTCAAAGAGAAAATAAAGATGCTTATTTTTGGAATGAATTCCAAGAATTTGTGCATAAAGGCCAGGTTATGTTAGGCTGGACTAATTGTCAGAGGCAGACTGTTAAGGATTGCCTAATACATAGTGTACATTCACAATCAGGTATGAATTTATCCAGTTATCTCTGTAACAACCATCTCCCTGAGTGAATAGACCCTGCTCCCCGATTTGTTTCTAATCTGCAGTCCTGAATTAACTAAAAATGGGGAAAAAAATCAAATGTTATAATAATGTATGACTATGGTGTGATTTTTACCTTTCCTGCCATAATAGCACAATCTTCTTGCCCATTGGTTGCATGGCTTGGTTCTCCACGCAACCATCTGGTATATGTGACAGGAGTCCCATCGCTCCATTCAAAATACATTTGAGTGTTGAGGTCATTCAGACCAATCCACAGCTCATCAGTAGCTTCTAGGAAGAGAAATTCACCTGTTTAGTGCCTCAGTTGTAACAGAGCAAGACTTAACAGAGATCAGCTGAAACAGCTATGTTACAATACAAATTCGTCTAGGTTAAATGACAGTGGAGTCTATTTTAAGATCTAGTTCATATTCTTTTCAAGAAGTTAAAACGGAGATACCAGCAGGAAATGAAATTGTTCAGCTTTATCAGTTAAAGTCCATTATGTGGACTTTATTATCTACAGCTACAAAGTGTCTGAGGAGGATAAACACCAGCCTACATACTGCTGTAACTGGGGCTGGGGCTTCCTTTAAGTGATTTCTTGCAATGAGAAACAGCAATGAAGAGAGAGTACTAATGATTCCTCCTGCTTTTTTATCTATTTTTCTGTGGGCTTCCCTGTCAAAAGTCATATCAAATAACCAACGAGCTTTTTAAAAATCCTGTAAGTTTTCTAATGGTATAATTTTCCATTTACACCAAACATTGCTCCATAGAAGTACTTACTGTACCCAAGCTGAGACAGTATAAAGCCATGCTCTTCAGTGCTGTGAATACTGGCCAGGCTGCCATTGCTCTCTTTGCAGGAAATCAAAGCTTCTTTCCATGCTCTGGGTTCTCTGTGAACCACGTAACAGTGATCTGCATAGGGCAACCATCCTTCTGGGCATGCAACAGGCTGTGCGCCCCCTCAAGATAAATAAATGCTTCAAGCTTTAAAATAATTTAAAGTGAAGTCTAAAATAACTGCAATTACATTTGAAATTAAGCAATTTGTTAATTGGAATGAAAATAGAGCAATTTTAAATAGACAGCTCTTCTATTCATTCTACATATGTATAAGAACATTGTGGTCTACTTGCTTTTATGGAATATAATATTGTGTTTAAAAAAGGGGAAAATAATGCAGCCAGTAGTAACTGGGCTTCACTCGTGTGAAACATTCACTTTTGGCAGAGGAATATTTTAAACTTCCATGTATAATGTTTTCAGACAACATACCACATCCAGTATGTTTTGTATATTTCATAGATGTCTTACTACTGCAGCGCAAGTAATCCTCTGGGGACATAGCTTTCCATGATAAATCTCATCAAATAAATCACCAGAGGCAAAGAGCTTGTTTCTGTATTTGAAAAGTGGCCTGAGGGAAATTCTTTTTGCAACCTTGAGGTTATCTGCAACTCCCTGAAAAGGTGGTTTAAGCCTGTACGTGCAATCTTTCTGCTTTTTCATTAGCATACACTACAGGAAGGGTGAAGCATCTCTAACTTTATTTTCTTTTATTCTGGGAAGTGCAGTTCAAGACACTTTTGGAATAGTCTGTGGCTTAGATCATTGCCTCTGTTTTCCTGAAAAATGTCATGAAATAAAAATTACTGATCTTGTCTCTGGGTTCCAGGAACATTTCTGGTGTTTAAACATACTTATTAACGAAGTAACAGCACATTCTGTTCTGCGCCACTCAGTAAAGTAGAAAAAAGAGTGAAAATGCCTTTTTTAATTTTGGTAATAACTGTGACAGTTCATGTCAGCGACACAAATTCTAACTTCATTATAAGACTTGTTTGTTTGACCTACCTGAGGGAGGAAAGAAAGGATCCCGTGTGGAGTTTTCCTTTTTACAGATATAGCCAATTTTTTGTTCGCACTGCTGGTTTTCCCATTGAGCACCTCTTCTGGGATTTAGTACTGCACAAAGTTTTTCAGGCTCAGGAGAAGGGCTTCCTTCATAGAATGAAAACAAAATCGTTTTTATGTAACACAGGTTTTATATCAGCAGTTAAAAGAACAATTTATTTCCGGCCCTTTCATGCTTCAATTATGAACTCATCACTTCATTGTCAGTGCTATTTTTCTATTGGAGTTAAGGAAATGTTATTTAAAAATAGCCATCAAAACAATAATATTTCTTTAGATGCTTATTGCATAACTCACACTTTCTGCCATAATTAATTTCACGATTGCTATTTCAAAAATAAGACGAGTTTTGTGGAAATTGTCAGCTTGTACAGAAGAGAGATTAAGTTTAGAGCCACCCAAGGGAAAGGCTCAATTCTCTTGCCCTCAGCTGCTTGATCAGCATGTACATAGGGGCCAGCTATGTGTCCATTAAGGACGTATGCTGCTCACAACCAGTCATGGCACAACCGATGTTTTTGCCCAATCAATATATGCTGGACTTGAGTCCAGACATTGAAGGGGTGCCTGGTAGAGATACGGGACAGAGGGCTCTAAGGAATCAAAGGTAACAGCTTCACAGCTCATGAGAATCTTGTTTTATACATTACTTCCAGTTAGGACCCATTTGGGCTAATAGGACAACTTAATAATGAACTTCCAGCTCTCATTTGCGTTTATGAAATCAGAGGATAATGTATCTGGGCAGGAATGCAGTACCACAACATCTTTTCTTAATATGATTTGTATTCAGACAAGGAATTTTACAGCCATGTGAAGAGAGAAGAGAGTTCTTTCTTTAGAAGAAAAATCATCAGCTGCTAATCATAAAAAGAGGTTTCAAAAACTGCAAAACTTTGAATTCTAGCTCTGCATTTTAGAGCTAAACGAGGCTTAGTGAACAAGCATCATTTGTTAAAAATAGGAGACAAAAGGGAAATGTCACTAATCTTTGGGTACATTGTCTAACAGTTAGGTAGGAAATGATGGGAATTCAGGCTGGTCAAAGCCTGTCGAGGTCAGCTTGCTCTTTATGGGAGCATACTAAAAGGCTTCTAGTTTCTAGAGCTCTGTTTATTAGATTGCAAAAATAATTAAATGGAATTCTTTAAATATAAGGCAAATCCGCTGGAAGATAGAAGGCAAATCACAACGTGCAAAAACAAATCACCACCTTTCTGCTGTGCAATTGCCGGGTAGCTCTTTCTCTTCTATGTCACATTCTGGTCCAGCAGCTTTCAGCGGCTTGCTGGAACGAAATAACTCTACTTGGGATCTTCAGAAACTACTTCAGATAGGATATAGGTTTATCTAACTCACTGAAGAAAAGCTTAGCTTTTTCACCTCATACCAGCAGTGTGTCTCATAGGAACCCCGTTTCCATATGTTTATGGCAAATACTGCAGTTCTGTAATTAACATTCAACATTCTGGCAGGAAAGAGTCATCTGTAAAACTGTTAAAAAAATGGTTACTACCTGGAGCCCAGCTTAAGTATCTGAAAGGAAAGCCACCGCTCCATTGCCAGCCGCTGTTGAGATTCAAACTGTTAAGCCCAATCCAGAGAGAGGATCTCTTGCTGTCAATCAAATCTAGGTAATCAAAAGAATTTAAACTTTATGATGTTTATGATAAAATGTTCTACATTTTCAAAGTTTGCAGAAGGTAAATGAATGTCTGCTTAGGGACTTCCAAATTTCAGCACAGAATCCATATTTACTAATAATAAACTCAGAGAGTTCATTCTGTAGTTGGAGGGTACAGAATGGCAAAAGATTAGTTTGCATATTAGTTTATCCCAGTGTAATGCTATTTTACAGTTGTATGTAAGTAATAGGCATTGAAAACTGAAACAATGAATTGCTTTTGTTAATATCTGTATTACAGGTTAGCTGTAAGTTTGATGCAATTAATACAGTGGCTTCATTCTACAGAGCCTTTCCATATTGTACGCAAAGTCTTAAATCTTGTATAAAATTTGTATGATATCTGAAAAAAAATCTGTCTATTGCGTGAGTTCTGCATAACGGACACTGATTTCTTAATAGAAAAGTGAAGTACTGAACAGTAGGCAATTATAATGGCTTTTTTTTTTTTTGGTAAGGTCCCTTTCTAAGACTGATGTGTTAATGTTTTTTGCACCTGATCCAACTTTTGCTTGATTAGCTGGAAATTCTTCACTGGCTTTCTGAAAATAATAATCACAATTTCAAATGATAATTCCACAACTCACTTACAAAAGCTTAATTTACAGTACTTGTGACATTTCTCTAGCAGTACAAATATTATTGTTACATAAGCTATTTACTGTCATATGATTAAAGCACTGAAATGTTTGTAAGCAGTCAAAAAAGTGCAGTCTTTACTGAGTCTCATTTGCTAGTTCACCTCTCAGATACATTTGTTCATGTATCTCTGTGACGCTTAATAATTCTGCATTCTGCTGCTGGCAGCTCTTCCTTGCTTGGTGCCATGTGAGAGCTGCCTGGAAGTTTGTCTGGTAGCAGGTTCCTGTCAAAGGATCTGTAGTCCAAAATCTGCCATTGCCACTGTCTGCGTGAGGGAAGGGAGATGCAATATTGCAGTCCGTTATAAACAACTTAGGCAAAATGTTATGATAGAGTTTAACTAAAAGCTTATTCGTGAAATCACGTTGTTCTGGAGCAAAAAAGCCCCAGCCCTACCCCAAATTTTCCCTTTGTGTGCTCTTTGTTAAGTCAAAGAGGGATTTCCACTGGCATTAACAAAGGTGGGCTTTCATCCTTTATTTTGTTTCCCCTATCAAATCTGATAATTTTCAGATGAAAAAAATAGCACAAAGAGATCAATAAACAAAATGGCACCTCAGTCATCATCTACTTTGAAATCCTGTTCATCAGCTCAAAGGCCTTATCTGAATGGGTTTTTAGTCACTGGCGCTTAGAAATTGTCTTCTGGGAATTCTCTGTTAGCAAAACCATTTCCTGGGCATGTGCTTATAAGCTGTGATTATGATTTCCCTTAACTTTGTCTTTCGTTAAGGGAAAGAAATAGGATTCCTTAAACCGTTCATTAAAAGAGGTATTTTCCAGGGTTTTTCTTTTGTTCCTTTGTTGCTGGCTCCCTTCAAATTTTTAACATTCTTTTTTATTTGTAGACCCAGTGAGCCTAGTGGTAGTGTCCCAGCAGTTATATAATGCCAGATATTTCTGATTTTCCTGTTTACATAACAAGGGATTTTATTAAAACTATTGTATGCATTATTGCACCAGGAAATGATTTTCAGCAGTGTCAGTTGAAAAGACACTGATGGCAAATTGGATAGTGAACTGTACTTGGTTTTCTAGAGTTGTGCTCTTCCCGAAACCACAAATGTGGTTC